TTTTCTTTTCGTTGCTGCTTGTCAGACCGTGGTGAAGCAAGGAAATCTGCATCGAGAACCAGAAATGGCGTATCAGAGGTAATTACCATTCAGACAGTTCATTATAGACTGTATCTTCTTTGCATTAAATTAATCAGTCTGGTAACTTCATCGATATTGTGCTTTAACGCACTTTACATAAATTTATTCATGTCATCCTTAACTCTTAGGTCGTGTTCTATTGGGCCAAAAGTAATTTCGTAAAAAGACGCTTCAGACAGCACAGGAAGTCGAACAAACATCACACATGAGTCGATTAACGTTTCATTTAACCTTATTGGGATATTCAGACCGAGATGTAATTTAGATATGCAATTTCAGAGCTTTATTCATAACCCTCATAGATTCTGTTCGTTTCATATACTTTTATTAGCCACGAACACATAGAGTGGTCTGCCTGTGTCTGTGTTCNGTCAGACCGTGGTGAAGCAAGGAAATCTGCATCGAGAACCAGAAATGGCGTATCAGAGGTAATTACCATTCAGACAGTTCATTATAGACTGTATCTTCTTTGCATTAAATTAATCAGTCTAGTAACTTCATCAATATTGTGCTTTAACGCACTTTACATAAATTTATTCATATCATCCTTAACTCTTAGGTCGTGTTCTATTGGGCCAAAAGTAATTTCGTAAAAAGACGCTTCAGACAGCCCAGGAAGTCGAACAAACATCACACATGAGTCGATTAACATTTCATTTAACCTCATTGGGATATTCAGACCGAGATGTAATTTAGATATGCAATTTTCAGAGCTTTATTCATAACCCTCTTAGATTCTGTTCGTTTCATATACTTTTATTAGCCACGAACACATAGAGTGGTCTGCCTGTGTCTGTGTTCTCAATAGCATACCCTTCCAACCGTTCTCGGTTGAAACGGGATAACTCCTGGGAATAGTCTTTTACGATAGCTACAATCACGCGACATAATCACGCAAATACGTTTTCAACCGTTTCAAGACCTTTCAACCTGTTATTAGGCCGGTTGAAAAAGATGATCAACCAAAACAACCGAGAACGGTTTTTCCCCCAAAAGAACACGAAGAAAACCCAACCAACCTGAAGCGGTTGATCCCAATAGAACACGACCTTACGTACATTGTCATTATCATCGATCGATTGTGGCACAGGACACATGACCAGAACGCACCCGGTGCATGCGTTTCTTTGTTACGATGTAGCTAGGCTATTGTTATTAGCTCGTGGCTCGTCAAGTGGAGTCAAGAGGTACCACATACGCCTATGATCGATTTTGATCATAGACAAATTATTGATTGGCTCTAACTAGACCACAGTCCTCTTGGTATATTTAAAGAAAATTATAAAACGTGTTAATGTATCCAGATTTCGTCTTTGATATTTTACAGCGTAACTATGCGCTAAACATTGAAGAACCTAGCAAGAAAGGATAATCTAAGAGAGCGACTCTTCCACATACTGAGGACCCTCTCCCAATGATAATGTTTTGAAGGATTCTGTTTATAGACAACGGCTATTTTAAATACGATCTCTGAGAGGATAAACGCTGTCCACGCATTAATACAAAGAGTTACTGTGACGTTGATCGTGAAAGCGCTAGTTTGTTTTTATACTATCGCCTGGTCTTTTATCTTGAGGCGCGAAAAATCAGGATGTTGCCTCGAGCGAGGGAAAAGTCATACGGAAATTTCTTCCGATCCAATCTCAATCACGAAACGACTTTCTCACAGGTGGCAAAAGCGTTTCATCCAATCAGAAATCAGCTGTCAAAATGAATCAGTTCGCAACGCGTTCACGTTGTTGTTGGCGCCTCTTCGATCTTCATTCACAGAAGCTTGTAGAGTTTCCGCAAGTTTACACTAGTTTTCCAGGTTTTCTCGTAAATTAGGTGTAAACCACAGACAATGGCGGAAAGTTCGAACGGGTTTATCGCTTAAGATAAACCATTAAAAATTACATCCGGGAACACCAGAACAAAAACACTCGGGCAAAACGTCAAGGTTAGCTTGCTTGGCGAGTTCCTCAAACAGAAGGAAGAGGCCAGAAAAGTTTTATAGACGGCAAATATGTCGTAAGCATTATCGACGACAAAGAATTTTACCAAGCAAGGAAAATTCTGGAAGCTCGAAGCAAACGACTTAAAAAAAAAGGCAAGGCAAAGAAAATAAATCAAACGCCGCTGAAGCATTGACTGATGACGGGGTAAACACTCTGTACGAAAAATATTTACACTAGGCTTTTGAAGGAGCGACAAAGTGCTTGCACTTAGACGGAATAAAAACATAACTTGACATTTGTCCTGTCGAATGCAAAAGCAGTTAAATTTTAAGACAATGCTGAGGGTGAAAATTTCAGTAAGCATAAAATAAACAGATTATAGCATGGAAAGTGCTTTGTGCGGTGTTTACGCACTCGTTTTTGCATCAGAAAACTCACTCGTTCGTTTTCCGATACGTCAACAACTCGCGCGTAAATACCGTAGGCGCGCACTTTCCATGAAGTAATCTATATTTTCCAAGTTCTACGGGTACTTGTATAGAACGAACTCACCAAGTGATTACCTCCCAGTTGGATTTCAATTCTGGATCAGAAACGTATTTCAGTTGAATTTCTTAATTCTGACGCTTTCTATATCGGCAAAACAAAGCGACAATTGCATGACAGAAAGATCGAGCATTTTAAAGCCCTTACGCAAGTGGGTCACGTTTCCGCTGTTGCTGATCACGCAATTTCCAACGGCCATAACATCAAATGGGACCATTTCGAGGTCTCAGCTAGTGGACGATGTGATTTACATTGTAAAATAAAAGAAAAATTGTTTATACGAGACTTAAAACCAACACTTAATGGCAATGCTAG